ACCAGAAGAATCCCCTGATAAACTTTCCCAGGTCTAAAGACGCTGTACAGCAATTAAAATTAAGACGGTTAAAAGTGGCTTAATATAGGTGGTGAAGTCAATAAAATACTTTTCCAGTAAACTATTTCTGGATAACAATTAAGTGGCCACAGTCAAACTTGCAGGTCACATGATGTCCTGGGACCCAGAAAGCATGATAGAAAGAATCAATACATGTCAAGTTTATAAAGGCAAAGAAACAAAACTGATACCTCCATAGCTGCATTGCAGGTCACAGTACCAATCTGCTAAATCAGAGAAAAAGCACTGTTATAATAGCAAAATCATATTATATTTTCTGGTTCTAATCCAAATCAAGGTGTTAACTAAATCTGCATCTTCATCATCAAGTTCCAAAGCATTGGCATAATCTTCTCAAAAGAAAATCCACTGTTGTGCTAGCAAAAGCATACCAGAATATTTTATGTTATGTACCTATGGTAGGAAGAGCACATGTGTGTAAAACTATGGGTGAAGAGTTTTAAGAAAATTAATTCCACAGTTATTCATTAAAAAGTACCATCATCAGTCTGTATAAAATAATAAATACATGGTTATGTAGGTTGGGTACCAATGAAACAAAACAGATACCTATGTCACTGAATGTCTCTCCCTGTTCTACTTCACTGTCATCTTGCATACAACACAAACTGGCATACGCTGTAATAAAAAGAGAGTAGGATATTAGATGATGGTCATTACCTGCGACAAAAATATCATACAACAGACTGAAAACAAACTGTTACCGGTAATTATTGTGCTAGGGCAAAATAAGTTCACAAAAAGCCTCAAGTTCTATACAAATTCCACACAGATCCCTTTATCAGTGCTAGCTGTGCTATGACTTAATTTCTCTGCCTCACTGAAGGACCAGTAATCATGGAATACTTTGACTATTGAACTATACAAAAAAAGTGTATATCCCAAAATATCAACAGTAAAACTATAAATCCAAGGTTAGTAAAGCTGAATTTAGGAAGTATAACTGGGCAATATTCGTATGTGCTGATATTCGAGACAGTCTATGTATAAGCTCTTGAAAAAACACTCACTGGGTGTTGGAACATTTGAGATTATTGCAATAACTCACAAGTCATTACAAGAAAACCTTTGGGGCATATTTATTTACCTTTACCTAAGCGTACCCACAGACAAACAAACACACATAACAGCTCAACCTTCCTCATTTGCTGCTCAGTGCAGCTGCATATGTTCTCTATGCCAGCGACTACGAAAGCCAAAACAAGTCCTACTGTACATACAGTATTTCACATTAATGCTGAAAATGTGCTGTTTTATTTTGTATTTATATGAATACACAGATGTGTTCCACTCCCACTTAGCTTTTTACTTACTGTTGAGTGAAG